CCTCAGAGGCCATTCTTTATTGTTATCTTTCAATGATTAGTTTTCAATTATTCACGTCTGAAATGTAGGTCCTTCCAGAACTCTGCCCGGAATTCTCTGTTCTCATTCCAATGCTCTCTAAAAGGTTCCCTTTATTCTCAGGATTTCACAACTCTTCATAGAGTGATGAGTCTTGTATTTGTGAGTCCAATATAGCAATTGAAAGCTGCATCTGACTGTACAACAGGTACCATCAACTCAGCACACACCAGCATGTGAAAAACTGACAAAAAATGCTAGAAAGGATGAGGGGGAAGAGGAACACTTCTTCACTGTGCAAGGAATTGCAAACCAGTAAAGCCACTCTGGAACCTTCTCACCAAAACTAAAAATATAACTATCGTATGAACCAGCAATCACCCTCTTGAGAATATACCAAAATGACTTTGCATCATACCACAGAAATTTTTGAATACTCATTTTTATTGCTACTTTATTCACAAAAGTCAGAAATTGAGTGTGCCTAGATGTCCATCAATTGATGAATGGATAATGAAAACACAGAATTTTATTTCATTTTAAAGGAAAATGAAATTTGCAGGAAACTTCTTAGACATCACATCCATTGATCTGTAGCATGGTATCCTTGCAAGAAGGGAGCTAAGTCCCAAGATTTGAGGCCTTATATGTGAAAAACATCCAGCATTTGAAATATAACCCAAGAGGGGAAGCATTCCATGGGCTGAAGATTTTTTTTAAATTGGAACTTCTTGATCTTTTTTTATTTAATATTTTTATTTTATAATTAACTTAATTTTACATATCAGTCACGGACTTTCCCCGTCCTCCTTCCTCCCACCCCCTAGCCCTCCCTCCCAATCCACCCCACATATCCACCTTCTCCAAGGCAAGGTCTCCCCTGGGGAGTCAGTCCAGCCTGGTAGACTCAGCCAAGGCAGGTCCACTCTCCTCCTCCCTACACCAAGGCTGAGCAGTGTTCCGGCATAGGCCCCAGCGTCCAAAAAGCCAGCCCATGCACCAAGGATAGGTCCTGGCTCCACTGCCTGGAGGCCTCCTAAACAGTTCAAGCTAATCAACTGTCCCACTTACCCAGAGGGCCTGGCCCAGTTCCATGGAGGCTCCTCAGCCATCAGTTCATGTGTTTCCACTACTTTGGCTATTTGAACCTGTCCTTTTTCCAATCATGGTCTCGATACCTCTTACTCACACAGTCCCTCCTCTCTCTTGCCGACTGGGCTCCCGGAGCTCCACCGGGAACTGGCCATGGATCTCTGCATCCACTTCCACCAGACACTGGATGAGAGTTCTATCATGACAGCCAGGATGTTTGGCCATCCGATCACCAGGGCAGGTCAGCTCAGGCACTCTCTCAACCATTGCCAGTAGTCTACAGTGGAGGTATCTTTGTGGAACTCTGGGGAACTCTCTAGCACTCTGCTTCTTCCCATTCCCCTGGGGTCTTCATTCATCATGGTATCTCCCTCCCCGTTCTCCCACTCTGCTCCTGATCTTAAGAAAGACACAGGAATTGCCCAACGATAGAGAAATGGATGAGATCTACATGAGCAAACTGGGGGGGGGGGCAGGGCATGGAGGGCAAGGGTCAAGGGAAAGAGAGCTTAGGGGAGCAGGAGGTAAAGAGAGCTTAGGGGAGCAGGAGGTCCCAGCTGGATCAGGGGCTGGAGATTTTTGGGAACATAAGAATATTTCTGTTTAATCCGTTCCCACCTCCATCTCTGTCTCTGTCTCTGTCTTTCTCTCTCTCCTCTCTTTCTTTCACTGTATGTGTATGTGTGAAAACTCATGCATTTTTGTTTGTGGGTGAAGAGGGCAGAGGACAACATCAATATCTCTCTCCACTTAGTTTTTGAGACACTCACTGAACTTGGAGCGCACTGATTTAGCTAGACTGTCCAGCAAGCCCTGGAGAGCCTCCTATTTCCAAGCTACCAGGACTGGGTTGATCAGAACCTTTTGACTCAGACACCAACTTCCCCCTGGCAGGGTCTAGAACTCTGATTCTGCACTGTGTCTGGATAGAGTGAGGTGAGAGTTCATGGATAAAAATAGGAAGTATCCAAACACAGACACAATGTGGGGAGGACACAAGACTCTAGGTGCCAAGAGCATTTAATATGATTTGAGGGAAGGAAACCTGGAACTAAATGGAGGATTTGAGAGCCACTGGGTGCAATTACTTCCAAAAAAAAAATGTTTGAGTGATTGGCCACTAGAAACTTTTTATTCTAAGAGTCTGTCATTAAATAAATAAAAAAATAGACTGGTTCATATATTGAATTTACTTCCTTTTTGCCTTGTATAGACAGCTGCTAGGAAATGCTTTATACCAAGACTGAGAATTATGGCATGTGCCAAAAGGATTTTAAAACTGGGATCTAACTTGTGATCTAATTAAACAATAAGACATGACAAAACAGTCACTCCGTTCTCTTAATATCTTCCTGGGGCAGTTCAACTTCCTGTGTCAAAACAGACCCAAGCCAAGGTCAAATGCCTTTGGCTAAGGTTTCTAACACTCATGCCTCTACTGTTCTCTCTCTCTCTCTCTCTCTCTCTCTCTCTCTCTCTCTCTCTCTCTCTCTCTTTCCCTTCCTCCCCCTCCCTTCTTCTCGTCCTATAAAATAATGCATTAAAAAAGACCAGAAAATCTGATTTGAGAACCCCATAAACAATATGAAAAAAAAAGTTCTTAACAATCATCTAAAAATACAGAAGAAAAAATAGCATACCACAGCCCACAGCTCTACCAAACAGAGGCCTCAAGTGAGGCGAAAGAGAAGGGCAGCTTGAACACACACGGCCACAATGACTGACATAAAAGAGAAAGCAAAGGCATCAGAGAGATCCTCAAACCGCAGCTCCCACATGTGGAAACATCTGTTCAAATTGTGGCCACACCTGCTGGCCTGTTTAGAAGAGAGGCAGTTCAGTTTAGGAGAGGCTTATCACTTACTGCAGGGACAACTTCCTGAAGGTATCGGTGGCTGTGTGCATTTTTGTGTGATTTTTTTTTTTAAGTCACTGTACTTGCCTAGTTGAAAATCAAGTAAAACTTGATTTAGAGGAATAGACATTTTCTCATCAATGTTCGTGACATTTTTGCTTGTAACATCTGAATACTCTGTCTTTGTGGTGATTTTTGCTCTTAACAAAATTTCATCATAAAAGCATAGAGGCATCCTGCATATGGTATATTTTACCCTGACCAAATTAGCTGAGAAACACATATTTGTTTGAAAAAAATATTTTCTTTTTAAGTAGAGTCTTCACACTGTTAAAAACATCTTATCATCTCTGAGAGAGTAGTGAGGAGCAGAGACCTGGCTCTGTCCCTGGAGACAGCAGATGGGGCTTCCTTCTTGAACCTACACTGGAGACCAACATAATTATTGTGGGTCACAATCTTCAGACTCAGTGGTCTGCCTAGCATGTGCTCAGCATTGTCAGTTAGTAGCATGCTTTCTCAAATGTCCGCCATGATCATGCTTGCATCTCAGAATATCCCAGAGATTCTGATTTAGGCAGGTGAGACTGAATCATCCATTTGATCTTCCTTATAAGGATTTATTCACCTTCACATCCCCTCAGACTCAGTGCTTTCCTTTTAAGTTTTTTAATGTAGCAAACACTATCCTCCTTGCCTGCTTCCTCTGGGATTTCTACATGGTTTACTGTAATTACTCCCAATGCTAGACCTTGTGTGTTATGAACAAGTTAAAAAAATAGAATCGGAAACGAAACAGTGTGGAAGCATCTTCCTCCCCGACGCCACTGCTTTCTTTCTTTTTTTATGACACCGTATCAAGGAGACAAGATAGCATTTTGTTCTCATAATGTGATGGACAAATCATATGGATGGTCTATTAGGATGATGGATGGGATACATTTTAATAGGAAACATCAACTAGAGCCAATTTCTCCTAGGCTGTCTTTGAAGTCAAATAGTCTCTGTATAGTTAAATTTAATACCCAAGTCTCTTAAGTTTCAAACTTTTCTTGGTAGGAAAACATTGATTGGTTTTTAATTCTGCTCCTCACATGAACCCTTAAAATCTTAGCTCAGAGCACTCATTACATGGAGAAGTACCTGAAAATGAAATTTTCTTCCTACAGCCAAATGGATGTCTTGTTTTCAACATCTACTCAGCATATCGTCATGACTATAACTCTGTGATATTCCCTACAGTCTGTTTTTATTCCACAAAGTCAAATTAACCCAATGAAGTTAATTTTGTCCTGTTCTGTTTTATTATAGACTGTATATGTTCTTCAAATAAGAGTTTTGTTCAAAAGATGTTTTTTGGGTCTGATATGTGCCAGGATTTATAACTCTTGGTCTTGGAAAGCTTGATCTCTGTTCTTAAACTGTTCTCTGCCTACTGTGCGTCAGAAATAAGCGAAATGCAATCTATGTAGTAAGACGTGGTGGATGCTTTGAAAGTTATACATATAAAGTACTTTGGAAGCAAAAATGGTAGAACAAGTAACTCATGGGTTTAAAAAGCTTAAAGTATATTTCTTTTTATGTTGTGTATGAATGTTTCTTATGCATGCATGTCTATCATGTGCATGCAGTAGTCAAGAAAGCCAGAAGACAGCACTGGATCCCATGAAACTGGAGTTATAGATGGTTGTGAACCACTATGTTGGTGCTGGGAATTGAAGCCAGGTCCTTTGCAAGAGCAGCTAGTGCTCTTAACTGCTACTGAATCACCTCTCCATCCTCCGTGCGTATGTGGAGAATTCTCTTTCTCTCTCTTTTTTAAGTATTCTGCCTGCATGTATATATGTGCATCACATGCATGCCTGGTGTCCAAGGAGTCCATAAGAGGGTGTTGGATCTCATATAACTGGAATTGATAGTTGTGAGGCAACATGTGGGTGCTAGAAAACAAACCTATGTTTTCCACAAGAGCAATAAATGTTCCTAACCACTGAGCTATTTCTCTAGCCCCCATTTTATACTTCTTTTCCCCTTCAGTGTGGGCTACAAGATAGCAATGAATCACACTAAGCGAGATAACCCATTCTGGAGTGTAGACTTACTCATTCCGCCAAACTGCCCAAGTTGGTAAAGGTAATAATTGCCCCAAATTAGCTTCTGGTATCATTTTATACTTCTAATTAAAGTAGGATGGTCATAGTATTGTATGGCCTGAAAGTAGAACACTAGTTAAAATGAGACTAGTTTAAAACTCTTCTTAGTCATATGATATTTTAAAAACTTATTTAACTACCATAAAACTTTGGTACCTCCAGATGGTTGTATGTTGCAAGACTTAAAGTTTTCTTCGCAGTTACCACAACTGCCAGCTGATATTAATTCTTGAGCTGTGGCCAATACCTTTCAAATAATTCAAAGAGGCCTTGCAAGGGCCCTACAAGGTCTTTATCTCCCATGCTCCTATTTTAGGGAAGTGAGTGTAACCATGGACACAGTCCATCCTGTGAAGCCAGACAGACTTCAGGTTTTCACCTAGGAGCTTCATACAGAATTTGTTCAAGGGTGATACCATTTTCTGCCTTCCTATGTTATTGTTATAATTGTGATTATTGAAGGAAATCTAGCTTTATTTTTTTAAACCCTTAAGAAACTTGGAGAAGTGTAGTCAGTAAAAAAGGAGAGTAAATATCTCAGCTCATTTGTGCTGCTGAAACAGAATAGCAGACTGGCAGCTGGGAAGATGTGTTAGTAAATTATTTTGGGGCAAGCATAAGAACCTGAGGTCAGATGTCCAGCACCTACAGAAAAACATGGCAGGTCTGTAATTCAATCTCAAGGGAGGCAGATTCTTGGAGCTCCTCTGCTATAAAGCCTGATCAAATTGGTGAACTCCTGGAGTTCCAGGTTCAGTCAGAGATCCTGTCTCGCAAAATAGTAATGCAGAGAGTGCCTGAGGAAGAAGCTAGCATTGACATATGGCTTTCACATGCATGTGTGTACCGCCACGCATGTGCGTGTGCATGTGTGTGTGTGTGTGTGTGTATGAGCGTGCATGCGTGCATGTACTCACACAGAGGAGAGAGAGAGAGAGAGAGAGAGAGAGAGAGAGAGAGAGAGAGAGAGAGAGAGAGAGAAAGAAAGAAAGGACAGATTAAATTTTAAAAACCCAAATAACATAATAATAATACTGGGTAACTTATGAAGAGTGGAAATCTGCTCTATAGTTCTAGGGACTTGAAGTTAATAACAAGATGCTAGTAGGATTCCTTGTCTGGCGTGGACTCCTTTCTGCTTCCATGATGGCTTCTTGTTATTTTGTCCTTTGGAGGGGAGAACTGTTGTGTCTTCACGTGGCATACAGCAGGAGGCAACCAAGCAGCCTGAAGCCATCCATATAGTGAGTCCTGGTGGCCTAATCACCCTTAAAGTGCCCACTTGTTAACACTATTACATTGGCCATTAATTTTCAACACCTGAAACTGAGAGGTGACGCATCCAAACGATAGAATTAAAATTTCTAAGTTCAGAGGTTTTCCTGTTTTCTGAAGACTGATAGAGACATCTATGATATTCTCTGGCTCTTCACACGAAGACATTAAAACTCATGCTCATCCCAGATAGGGAACCAATGAAGCCTGAAGAAATGATTGTATCAAAGAGAGCTTGGTGAACCAATGAGTTTATTGGGGTTGCTTATAGACTCATGAGTGAGGAGATATTTACAGGAGCATTGGTGATTCAGCTCCACTATCAGGAAGCCCACACCAGCATGGTGCCATTTCATGAAAGCTACATGGCTGGAAGTCCTTACCCAACTTGAAAGCACCTCCACCAGTCTCCTCTCCTGAGAAATCACTTCTGCAGTCTTGGAAAGGGGTCTTATATGTTTCAAGTGTTTCCTGAGTCATGTAAATCTCATGAGATTCCTGAGTTCTGTGAACCTCTCTCCTGCCAGTCTCTTGCCCTCCATACCCCCAGAGAAATACCAGTATTTTAATCAGGTTGCAGAAATGGGCTAGGGTTCACAATTTTCTAGTTGGTCATGAGTATATTTAGAAATGCTTTGCTCTTGTTTGAAGAGAAGGCATTCTTGTGATATTGATCAGCAAATAGTGACAACATGATGCCAGTCTGTACCTAGCTAATTTCATTCCTTGGACAGTAAGGGAAGGGCATATTTCATTTTGTGTCAAAAGAAGGTAGGGAAAAAGAAAGACCATCTTGGGCCTGGAGGCATGGCTCAGCAAGAAAAAGCATGTATTGTGTTTGCAGAGGACCTGAGTTTGGTTCTCAGTACTGATCTTGGAATATTCACAACCTCCTGTGATGTTAGACCCAGGGAATCCAATGTCCCTGGCAACCACAGATATTTACACTCATGTGCATATACCCCTACACAGACATACAAACACAAATTGCAAAACTAAAAATATCTTTTAAAAATGAAAAAGTTCACTTTTAATAGGTGACATGCCATGGGGACATAATTATCCATTTCTATCCATTTCCTGTCCCCATCATAGTCCTTGTCTGCTTCATTATCCTTTTCCTACATAACTGAGTCTTCTTAGAGAGATATTTCCCTCTCCTTCCTCTTCCCTTGTTTTTCTCAATCATGATGGACCTATAGTGAGACACAGGATAATGGTGGGAGCACATGGAGATGTAAAACTACTTACCTCATGGCAAGTAGGAAACAAAAAGAGAGAGAAAGAACTGTACTCTTAATACTCCTTTCATGGGCACACTCCCAACAATGTAGTATCTGTCCTGTAGACATCCACTGGTAAGAAAAATGAGTTTCACTATATACCAATAGCACCACAGACTGGCAACCATGCCTTTAACATGAGCCTTTGGGAAGACTTCATATCCAAAATACAGTCAGTTTAGCTGGGCAGTGGTGGCACATACTTTTAATCCCAGTACTTAGGAGGCAGAGGCAGATGAATCTCTGAGTTCAAGGCCAGCCTGGTCTACAGAGAGAATTCCAGGAAAGCCATGGCTACACAGAGGGACCCTGTCTCAAATATATATATATATATATATATATTATATATATATATATATATATATATATATATAATATATATATATATATATATATTAAATTTTATACATTTCTCACAAATGATTCTATAAGAGTAGACAGTCTTATTTTTATTTTTTCATATAGAGAATCCACAACTCTGAAATAGTCATGAATCAGCCCAGGATCTTCTACCTTATTAGTAGTAGAAAACATGCCACAACTGAGGTATCTTTGACTCAAAGTTGGCATTCTCTCTACCACATTAAATTGCTCCTGAAAAGACTTGGGATCTTAATTTCATCTGGAAGGGAAGGAACATAGGAGGGACTTAGAATGAAGTACGATTGGTTGGGTATGAATTACAGAACTCTAACCCCTTCGGGCCTGTGCAAAACAGCCTGTATTCCTGGGTTTGGAGAACAGACTCACCAAAGCGAACCAGGTGCCCGTGGGACTTTGCTTCCTTGTGGCTGGATTACAGCGACACACTGACTGCCACTTCATCACATCAGTCATATACAATGTTCAAATGCACCTAATGTCATCTCACTGCCTCTCCTGCTTCTGCCTAGATATGAAAGAGTCGTTAATGTGATCTTGCTTTCTGATGTAAATATCATCATTCTCCTCAATTTGAGAAAGTATCTCTACTAGTCAAATATATTCTCACTAAAAGGAGTTGTAGTATTTCATATGTGAATATGCTATAAAAGAAGGATGGTTTTTTGTTTGTTTGTTTGTTTTGTTTTATGGTTTTTTGAAACAGGGTTTTCTTTGTGTAGACCAGGCTGGCTTTGAACTCAGAGATCTGCCTGCTTCTGCTTCCCGAGTGCTGGGATTAAAAGTCTGTATCACCACTGCCCTGCTGGAAGGGTGTTTTATGTGTATTTAGGTCACTTTAGAGGTAGGATAAGGGTGCTGTCATGACTAAATATTGTTAAACATGCTTTTCCATGTTTAGAGTTTTGGAAAAGTTTGCAAATATATCTGATGTATCTAGAGGAGATTTTAGGCTTGAAAGTAGAGGCAGGTAAACTATTCACCTCAAGCTACCTATTATGTATTTTATGGAACATAATTAAATTTTCTAAATTACTGCATAAGGAAGGGGATCTACAGATTTTGTTGACATAATGTCTTCTTAAAGTCTCCACCCTGTGTCTTAAACTTTAGCAATGCAGTACAGATGTCAAGGGGTCTTTAAGCAAAGAAGGAGTAGAAATCAATGCTAGAATTATTATTTTGAACAGGGTATCGACAGCTATAATAAAGTTAGAGCAACAGGGCCCAGCAATGTAAAGTCAGTTAATGGACTTTATTTAGACGACATCAGATAAGGACATTAGTAATAACTGTTATCGTGATGGCTAACCTTAAATTCAAGAAAACATTTTCCCAAACACAAGTTGTTGTGAATTCCTGCCCCTTTTATCTTACAGTCAGCAGAAGATTGCAACCTCCCATTATGAAATGGCATCATAAAATGCAGAGCACAGCCACCCCAACGGAAACCACCTTTCTCCTCTGCTGATACACACGGGCTAGCAGTAAATGCTTTTTGAGCTCCTGGCGTGCGGATAAATTCCCACAGACGTCTCCAATTGGACTGAGAGATTGAGAGACACAAGGGAGAGAATAGCTGAGGCCAGGAGAATTTAACATGGCAATTAGCAACCCTTTGGCTTCCCTAGACCCCACAGCCTAAGACTGGGGTGCAAGAAACCAAAAATCTCTCCAGCAGCGTCCATGATAAATTGGTTGGGTCCCTGGGGTTATTGGACACAGTTATTATCCAATAGCAGCCCTAGATGGTGTGAAAGTCTATGTAGTGAGGTCAGAAAATGAAACAGGGCTTTAAATTCCCAAGGAGAGCTCCTTTGCTTACGTCTCAATTGGTATGCCCTTTCCCCCTATTTCAGGAAGGCTCCAGATCACATCACAGCATCTGTATTACCTTCTCTATCTGAACAAATAACTTCTCAAACATCACTTACATGAAGCAATTGTAACCATTACCACCGGTGCCTCTGTCCTTGAAAAGTTAGAAAAGTAAGAGATAAAATTGAAAATAAAATTATTATTTAAAGACTTTTAGGACTTCTCTCTCTCTCTCTCTCTCTCTCTCTCTCTCT